TAAATTTTGATTGTTTGTTTATTTCGTATCGTAAACGATTTTAGTTTAGTTTCAAAAAAAAAAAAAAAAAAGGAAAAGAAAAAGGAAAACATAATGATGAAGTGAATGACTAAGCAATTAGTTAGTTAGTCAGTCAGTCAATTCATTGAATGATTTTTTTTTTTTAACTTGAAAAGAGTCAAGTGATAATTTTCGGTTTAAATTTTTTTGCAAATTAACACATGTTGTTTAAAAAAAAAACTACGCGCGTGTATTTGTGGATGTTCTTTCCTTTTTCTTTTTTCCTTTTTTCCTTTTTTCCTTTGACTAAACTAACATTCATTTATTGTTGTTATTATTGTATGATTCGATCATTGAAAAACAAAATGTTTACTCTTTTTTCCCTTTTTTTTCTCTCTCTCTCCCTCGTTTTTCATCATTATTATTATTGTTGTTGTATTTGTTGTTTGTCTTTTTTTTCTCGAGAGGGGGTGTGGAGGGGAGAGGGAAAGGGGAAGGGGAGTTTAAAAAAGAGTAAAATTCTAATCTCGTTTTTTATATTAACGAGGGAAAGAAAAAAAAAACGGGACTGATCATCTCCACCCACTCTTTCTTTTTTTCATGTCTTTTTTTTTTAAAATAATAATAATAATGATGATGATAATAATAATAATTTTTTTAAAAATATAATTAATTATTAAAATTGTAAATTTTTTTTTTTTTTAGAAAAATGTTTTTTTTTTTTTTTTTGTTTTTTCTCCTTTTCGCAATTGTTGCTGTTGTTATTATTATTATTATTTTTCGCGATTCAGGTACACAAACACATTTACACACGAGTAAATAATACAAAAAAAAAAAAAGTAAGAATAATAATGATAATGATGATGATGATGGATGACAGTTGAAATTTAAAAAAAAAAAATTTTTTTTTTTTTTTTTTATTGTATTGTAATAAAAATTAATATTATTATTATTATTATTATTGTTTTTTTTTTATTGTCCGTCGTGTTTATGTGTAACGCGAAAGTTTTGTATAAAAAAATAAATAAATAATTGTAATGTATAACGTGTGATGAATGGGACAAAAAAAAAAGAAAAAGAAAATTTTCAGGTATGAGTGAGAGATAATAGTAACAATTTTCTATGTAAATATTACATAAATAATATTTAAAAAAAAAAGTTAAAAAAAAAAAAAACAATAAAAAATAAAATTTTCATTTAATAAATAAATAAATAATAAAAAAAAATAAAAAATGTTTATTATTATTATCATTATTACCGTTTAATCATTTATATATCATCAATTCCTCTTTTTCCATGGTGGTAATTAAATTAAAATAACTAAGTAATCATTTTTGTTTGTTAAAATTTTTTTTTGACCAACTTTGGTTATAAAAAAAAATTTTTTTTTTTTTTTTTTACTATTTTTATAACCGACTTAACTAATTGTTGACCGTTTGAAAAAGCAGAAGGAAAAAACCCCTAAAGGAAAATAATAATAAAAATTAAAAAGCGTAAATAATAATTAACCGAAACGCAAAAAAAAAAAAAAAATTTTTAAACGTTTGTAATAATAATAAACTCTCCGCCATGTTGTTGTTGATGATGATAAATCGCATGGTATTTACCGTAATTTCTTTTAAGGAGGAGGATTAAAAGGGGGGGGCGGGGGGAAAAAAGGATATTAAAAAAAAATAAAAATTATCATTAGTATATGTGTGAAAATAATATTTAAATAAATAAAAAAAGTGTAGAAAGTTTTTTTTTTTTTTCATCTTGAGACAAAAATTTTTAATAAAAGAAAAATAATTTGAATAGAATTAAATATGGCGAATGTTTTATTATAAAATGTTTTCTTATTTCTATTAATAATAAATGATATTTATATAAAGAGATAAAGTTATATAAAGTAAATCAATTCATGCGATTAATTTTTTTTAAATCATCAGTCATAGAATAAAAAATTAATTGTAAAAACCTTTTTCTCTATGAACTTAACAAACAAACAAATTATTTAAA